TTCACATGTAGATTGATTCTGCAATTGCTGCAGCTCGCAAGTTGTGGATCAGTGAACAGGATAAAAGAACAAATGAGCTCATTCAGTTATCCCTGAAGCAAGTCCAAGAGAAGCACTCGTCGACTCTTAAGAAGCTTGTTCAAGAGAAAGGTGAAGTTATACAGCTCCTGGACATTAGTAATCAAGAGAAATTGAAATTGGAGCAAGATTTTAAAAAGACAAAAGAGAAATTAAAGAAAGGTAGACCATAGTCGTTAATACTTTGCATATTATGCTTCTCTTCCTGGCTATTCTCCACAATGGTGTACTTTATTAAGTAATGAAGAGAGCAGATAAACTAGAGGGAGTATTGAAGAACTTTAAAGAAGCTTTGCCTTCTTTCCAAAAGGATCTAGTCGAACTGGTATGTATATCCTTTTTGAAATTTAAACTACTATGCTAATGTGTCTTTAATTGTAGATGGCTAGCACGTTATTGGCTCAGGAGAAATGGTACACACAGCATAACTGATATTATCCTATTATTATAAAAGTTTTATTAATCATCATCAAAACTACTTTCATAGTCACATGAGGTCACGTGGTTAAGATATACGGAGATAACCGGATAAGTAAAGGGTCACATTTCGATACGTGAGGCTATGCTCTCAAAGTTTGAATTGGAATTATTGAGGCCATGGGTTTCTGGAAGGGTCACCGCTCTCCTGGGAGGCTTCAATCCAACAGTAGTCAATACAGTGTTAGAATGTATCGCTAAGAGCCTCAACAGGCAAGCAACAACAGGTGATAACAACGTGTCTATGACGTTGTGTTCTATTTAATGCCCACTTTATTTATTTCTTAATAGAAAAGCTAAGAACCTACTTAGAGCATGAGACTGCTGGTTTTGTTGAGAATTTGTATCGTAAAGTTTTAGAAGTAAGTTATATATTTTCATGCACTGAAAATTATACTGAAATATTATTAGGTTAAATCGGCCAACATAGCCACAGGATCCAGCATACAAGGAATAAAGAGAGCATTTGAATCAGCAGAAGCAGCTGCAAATGCACCAGCAACAAAGAAAAGGTGTTCTACAGTATAGGCTATGCATGCTTTACCATACATTGCTTTATTTCTAGTCGATTTGGTCCAGCTGAGACTAAAGGTGGGAGTATGTCACATGCAGAGATTGAGGCAGTCCTTCAGTCGACCATCAAAGATATCGAGGAGAAAAGATCACAGACCAAATCCTTCCTACCTAAAGTATGTTGTGTATAGTCATATTGTCCAGTAATTATTTGCTATGCGTGTTATTGCAGTCTAGTGCAGCTGGTATATTGCCTACGCCTAAAGCTATTGCAATACCTGCCAGTCAGATACCTATAGTCAGCAGTGCAGTAGGTGAGTGATGCATGCAGCTCTGCTATATATTGTATTATAAATGTATAAAGTGATATTTCAACTGCGTTTGTAGAGAAGGCAAAGAGAGCTGCAGAACTGCAAGCAAAAATAAGCAGCACTTTAGCATCTAAACCAGGTCTACTGGCATCGGTGACTGAGAAGATGGCACTGTAAGAAACCATTTTATGAGAGAGAGGAGGAGAGAGAATGAACAAAAGGGAGAAATTGCATGCATGCATGTACACGTGTACATTTTTTAAAGGAATTTTTTATTGTAGGAACAAGCCAGTGCCTCTAGTGTTGGATTCTGAAGGTAAGTCGGATATACCAACTGCTACTAGAGCACCTACTCTAATGGTAAGTTTAATATTTATTATTATTATTTTTATCTTCCTCTGTCTCTCAAGGCTAATGTCAGAGCTCAGCAAAGAGCTCAGGTTAAGCAGATCAGTCGGGAACAGCCAAAGAGGGAGGAGCGGCCGGAGAGGAACCCCTACTTTGATCAGAGGGTAACACCACAAGTCGGAGGAAGAGGACGAAAGCAGTTCAAATTCAATGACCCTGGTGAGCCCTTCTTTCTCTTTTCTGTTCCTTTCTCCTTTATTACTACTGAGAGGATTCGTTATTATTTTTATTAGGCAAGTATGTCAAGTTAGGACAGACGATAAGGACTAAAGCTAAAATGGAGAAACTTCAGTCTGAGATTGCATCAAGTGCTCGTAAGACCGGAATATCATCAGCAACCAAACTAGCACTCATTGCACCAACCACTGAAGAGGTACAGTTATAATATCAAATTGCTCAAAAATCAGCCCAAAGACCATGTACTATAGTACAGGGATTTTGGCCAAATTTCGTCAAAAGTGAAAAAGAGAGAATTCTCCATTTTTATAATTTTTTCTGATGCATATACATGTTCTTATGTTATGTAGAAAGTTTGAGCTGATTTCGATCAAGTTTGGATTTTTTTATGAATTTTTAAAGTTGCTCCAAAATCGGGCCAAAGTCCCTGTACTATAGTACAGGGATTTTGGCCAAATTTCGTCAAAAATGAAAGGGAGAGAATTCTCCATTTTTATAATTTTTATTTGATGCATATACATGCTTTTATGTTATGTAGAAAGTTTGAGCTGATTCTGATCAAGTTTGGATTTTTTTATGAATTTTTAAAGTTGCTCCAAAATCGGGCCAAAGTCACTGTACTATAGTACAGGGATTTTGGCCAAATTTCGTCAAAAATGAAAAGGAGAGAATTCTCTGTTTTTATAATTTTTTCTGATACATGTACATGTTCTTATGTGGCATAGAAACTTTGAGCTCATTCTGATCAAGTTTGGATTTTTTACGAATTTTTAAACTTCCTCAAAAATCAGGCGAAAAAAATGACTATGAGAGAATCCTGCTGTATTAATGATACCCTTTCTCCCCTACACACACAACAACCTGATTATAGAGAGAAGATGATATACCACTTGTTGAATGGTGGGATGCCGACCTACTCCCCAGCAGGGCATATGAAGACTATGACAGAGTATTACCATTGGAACAGAAATACAAAGAAATCACAAACTTGATTGAACACCCACTACCAGTTGAACCAGCAGGTATTACAGCTAATTTATGAGATACAAAGCACATAACATTCATTCTGCACAAGAGCACTACTAGTAACCCCTATCCTTTTGTTATGTTCATGTAGGTCAACCGAATAAGCCGATACTGCCTCCTGTCATTTTGACTAAAAATGAACGCAAGAAGATACGCAAGCAGAGAAGGAGAGAGGCCGAGCTTGAAAAGCAAGAAAAGATACGATTTGGCTTTATGGACAAACCAGAACCAAAACGTAAGTGGACATTCTCCTCAAAAGAAAGATTTTTTTCTTGTACAGTATGTTGCATTGGGGTTGAATTTTCTTTGTTTTTTTTTTCCTGTAGTTCGTATATCAAATATGATGCGCGTATTAGCAACTGATGCTATACAAGATCCTACGAAGATCACTGCTCAAGTCAAGGCACAAATGGCCGAGAGACAAAGGTACTGTGCTCTAACGGAAACTGTCCTATCACACCACATTTGTGCCAACTTCTGCCTATTCAATTTTAGAATACATGAAGAAGCTAATGCTGCTCGAATGTTAACTCCTGAGCAGCGGCGAGCAAAGAAACTTCAAAAGATACAAGAGGACACGAGCACTGGCGTTCACATCACTGTCTATCGCATCAAAGACCTTTCAAATCATTCCAATAAATTCAAAGTGAGGAAGTGATTATGAGAAGTTTTGCTGGTAGTGATGCACTCTATTCTAGGTTGATATAAATGCCCAGCAGTATCATTTGACTGGGTGCGTGTTAGTGTATCCAAATGTTAATCTTGTGGTTGTGGAGGGAGGGCCGAAAGCACAGAAGAAATACAAGAAGCTGATGTTGCATAGGATTAAATGGAATCCAGAGAACATTGGAGATGGTTAGGAGAACCACTTATTATATCTTGCTACATGTATAACTCTTAATGTATAGATGATGAATCTGATAGTGAGAAGAATTCTAATGCTAACAGTTGTACTGTAGTCTGGGAGGTATGTACTTATTTAATGCATTAATAAAACGTGTGCATGTATGTACATACACTATTTTAGTAATGAGTGTGTTCATTATTTTTTAGGGTGTTAGGAGTACACGTCATTTCTATGACTGGAGGTTCAAGCAGTGCCCCAGTGAGACGATAGCTCGTGAGCATCTTAAGAAGCATGGAGCTGAACATTACTGGGACATGGCTCTCTCTTTGAGTATAGTTGACCAAGACAAAGAATAATCAAGAATACTAGCTACAGCTCTCAATTAACAGGCAGAACTTTCATTTTATTTTAATAAATAATATAATAATAAATAAATTGATTTCATGAATAATTATAATAATTAGTTCTTTTTCTCTCTATAACAATAATATTATCATTGACTAGTGACTATTGGCTATTTTGCATATCTCTTTGTCCATAGAACTGCAGTTCTGTCGTGTTCAGATCTTTGAGTGAGGAACTGTTTTGCTATGCTTCCTACCAGAGGATCACCTGTTGGTTATGAATATAATAGACAAATCTTTTTAGCACTAAACTCAAACATGCAACTTTCTATTGCACATGTAAGTGAACCATAATAATTATTACAGTATTTCATGTATTTTTTAATAGCTCAAGCTGGTGGGTGTCCATCAAGCCACTGAAGATAGATATTATGCTACTGAATGACTTTACATCAGTATAGGCTAGGGTGCAGTAAAAGAGGATAGGTGACACAGTATCACTGCATAGTGCAGTACTGCGGCTTACGTGGGTTGCAGTCTTGAAGTAGACATGTTATAGAAAGTAATAGTTTGCCAACACTCAGTGCTGGAGTCCATTTATCTTGCAGTATATCGAGACACACCAGTCCCTGACTGTTGATGTTACAGTGATATATTCTTGTCTTAAACATAACCTGTGGAGAGTTGCGATATAAAATGTTAAAATTCATCAAAGTGACACTTCAATCAACTGTCACTTTGATGAATTTTAACATTTATTTTGAATTGAACTATAGACTATAATGGGATGGGGACACTACTGTTTGCATTTTTGGTGTTTGTAGCTGATAGTAGTAGACTAGACCAAGTGTTGGTTTAGTAGAAATGTGATGCTAGTAATGTGGAATTGATAGGAGGAAGGAGAGAGGAATCATGCGAATGAGATAATGGGGAAATCAAGTATAAAAATACCCAATTATAATACTTGCATTATAGTACTAATAATATGTGCATTAGTATGAATATACACCTGCACACTTTCAAGTATGCGCATCGCAAGACGTGATAAATAAAATTACTGACACCATTAATTGATTATCCTGCCCACACACAACTCACTACCTTTGGAGGCTTGAAAGGATAATCAGAAGAGAATCTTATCTCAAGGAGAAACGTTCCACCTTCATAAACCGATCCATCGGGTCCTTTTATTGATGCTGCCCATTCAAACAAATTGTCTTCCTTAGGACCAGCACTGGATCATTGTGTGTGTGAGTGAGAAAGAATTATTACATTTTTCTAGAACATTATTGTTTTACAAGTACCTACAATTCGGAGGTGGATTGGCTAGCATTTCTTTTACTTCTTGCTGGAGTCTACAAAGTATAAAACACAATAATCACGGAGGATACTGGCTACCTTTTGATGCTGGTAGACTCCATTCTGATCTGGGAAATCTTCTACAGAGAGAGGGCTGGGCCGGCTGGAGGCGTTGTCATGACCACGCCTACTCGATGTGTCAACAATATGGCCGGCGAAAGTCAGGCACGACTCGGTCAGGCACAGCCTGTACAACAAGCTATGGGGAATAACAGGGAAGACACGATGACTCAAGTAGTAAATTCATTTGTAGCAGGAGCAGTAGCCGGTGCTGTGGCCAAGACAACAATAGCCCCATTGGATAGAACTAAAATTCATTTTCAAGGTATTGTTTTTATAAAAAATGAAATAATTAATTGTTGACATGCTCCCTATTTCTCTGTATCTAGTGACCGATAGGAGATACAGGTTTAGTAAAGCTTTGACATTTCTTCAGAGGACCTACACGAATGATGGATTCAGTACACTGTGGCGTGGTAACAGTGCCACACTAGTACGCGTTGTACCATATGCAGCTATACAGTTTGCGTCTTATGAGCAATATAAAATGTTACTAAAACCCTCCAGTCAACAAGGAGGAGGAGGAGGAGGTCAAAAAGATGATAGGTATAATTTGCTTACATTATAAAATACTGTATAGCGCTTTAATTTGACGGCACTTTATTTTGGTGATTTTGCTGTGAAATTGTAATTGGCGGTTTTTAATTTGGCGATTTTTGTGTACATGTACATGTGCATTACTGAGCATGCGCATTAATGATTGGTGGTTTTATTATTGGCGATTCTGCTTGCAAACCGCCAATCACCAAAATAAAACTCTGCCAAATTAAAGCGTTATACGGTATATACTTTATGTTATTGCAGTTTATGGTATTAGACTAATATTATTTATGTCATTGTGTACTGTTACTAAATGAGACAATGTGTACAGTAACAGAAGACATACGAAGCATGAATGCATCATGATACTGTCAGCATTAAATGATGCAATAATGATAATTATGATTCATGAATATGATTGATTTTTAATTATTGATAATTTCTGAACTTTTGCTGACAAGAGTATAATAATCAAATACCTATTACATGGATTGTATTCTTTATAGTCAAACCTTAAAAATTTATGAAAACGTTTCTTCTTTTTTCATTGCAGTGTTCTTCCGCCTGTTAGAAGGTTCTTAGCAGGTTCTTTTGCTGGAATGACAGCAACCACACTTACCTATCCACTGGACATGATCAGAGCAAGAATGGCTATCACAAAGTCTGAGGGTAACAAGCGCGTTTCACTTCTTAGCATCTCAAGAATCATTGTAAAGAACGAGGGACTCTTCACACTCTACAGGGGACTCTTACCAACAGTCCTTGGCGTGTTACCATATGCCGGGTGTAGCTTTTTTACATATGAGACACTGAAAGATAAATACAGGCAACATTACAATGAACCACCTTCTCCTTTGTTCAAAATAGTCGCTGGAGCCTTTGCTGGTCTCATGGGACAGACTACCTCCTATCCTCTTGATATTGTGAGGCGAAGAATGCAAACTGAGGGAGTCCTCACGCAAGTGAAGTATCCAACTATTGGTCAGACTGCGTTGTATGTTATAAGAACAGAGGGGCTGAGAGGAATATATAAAGGAGTCACGATGAACTGGATAAAGGGACCTCTCTCTGTCACTATTAGTTTTAACACTTACGAATACATAAAACATTTCCTTGAGAAGTATAAAGTTTTTGAAAGATAGTGTCGGCTTTTTTTTCTACTCAGAGCAGTAGTCCCTGCTCCTCCTTTAGCTATGATGTATCATAGCAAATGTTCTTAGTCAGGTTTTTAAATGTTTTTTTTTTCAACAGAATCATGTGTCTATCTATCTATCTAATATTATTTATTATTGTGTCTTAAATAGTATTTTTAATAAAAATGATGAGATACTTAAAAATAACAATAATCATCTTAGTGCAGTGGGTATAAGGTGCATTCTACAGTCATTTTTATAAAAAGTCACAATTCCTTTGTATGATGTTCTGGGTACACCATCCTAAGGAGAGATTATAGTGTAACAATAATTATAATCTTAACTGCATTTCCTACAAAGCATGCAAAGTGAGCTACACATACAGCAAGCTTCATGAGCAATCAGCTCAAACATTCTACACAACATAAGAACATGTACATTTATGTGTATCAGGAAAAATTATAAAAATGGGAAATTTTCTTCTTTTCCATTTTTGACAAAATTTGGCCAAAATCCCTGTACTGTACAGGGTCATTTGCCCAATTTTGGAGCAACTTTAAAAATTTGTAAAAAATCTAAATTAGATTGGAATGAGCTCAAAGCTTTTAAGCAACATATGTGGATGTATATGTATTAGAAAAAAATTGTAAAAAAGGAGAATAAACAGCCTATTACAATGGATAATACATATTACATACTTTAGTATCTGACATCAGTCCCAATTTCTTTGCTAGTTTTACAAACTCCTTTTCATCGGAGTATTGTATTGTCACTTCTTTTGCATGTGACGCAAGTATATCATTTGGAGAAATGGAAGGCAAATTTTTGATGCGATCAACAAAATAACGGTCATAGTTTTCCTGCTCAATTATACCATCAATAATGAGACATCAACTTCATATTAGGCTCACTTTTAGTAAATAAGTTAAGTTTGATGTCTTGAAAGGATAGCTCTTGTCATTGGCCTGAATGAACTTTAAGTGTTTGTCATAATATTGTCCTTTGCTAACGCCAACTCTACCAAAAGTTTGAGTTCGAGAGATTTCAGGTCTAATGCAGGATCTTGAGAATAAAATACAAACTCAATTAATGACAATATTACAATGATAAAATAAAAAAAATGAAGTCCAAAGACTGGGGCCATTTTCATGTATACTTCAACTGACCTTCCTTTTCTTTGCTCATTCAGCCTCAGCCAATCATCCCAGTAACTAACACACAAGTAATAATAATAATAATAATAAAAATAATGATAATTATAATAATAAATAATAATTGTTTCATTGACACCTTGAGGGCCACTTTGGTTTCAGTTCATGCCACAGATCAGCAGTAAGCATCCAACCAAGTCCAGGAAAGAAATCAGAACGATAGAGCAGATCTGAATTATTGGCTCAAAATATGATCACTTTTCTCTCTTTCCCACTCTCACCATTTCTGCTGGAGTCTATCAAATCTTTCTTTCCATTGTCATTCCAAGCGGAGACACAGAGCAAGGTTGGGTCTGATAGAAGGAGTGGCGAAGTGGCCTCCATGTAAGTGAAAAAGTCAGAAGAAACCTCTAAATCATCTATTAAAAAAGTGGCATCACTAAAATGATATTATTTCATGTAAAAAATTTAATCGGAAAATAAGGATTTTGGACCCATTTTTTAATAAGCTGCATTTAAGAATAATTGTACTTTAAATGTAGCTCTTTATGGATGCATACACTTTTTTGATTACCTTCTATAATGATGGCTAATTTATAGCCATACACATCAAAAACTTGACTCAACGCCCACCTATAGTGACGAGATATCTTATAATACCCGGCCATTCTTTTCTCAGCTGCTGGGACAGCAATAACCGAAGTGTCTGGTTGCTAATATTAAACGAATAACATGATTCTGGTATCAAGGATAGCGTTACCATGATATGTGTTAGTTTGTCTTGATACGAATCAATCACTTTAGATGTCTGCTCATTCCCACAATCTTGACTCACTATCACAGGGAACTTTTTATTCTGTGGCTTATGTCTGAAAGAGAAACATGGTTAACACAAATAGAGTCAATTTAAAAATTAACATACTGTATAGCGCTTTATTTTGGCGGCACTTTATTTTGGCAATTTTGCTGTAAAATTGTAATTGGCGGTTTTTAATTTGGCGATTTTTGTGTACACGTGCATTACTGAGCATGCGCATTAATGATTAGCGGTTTTAATATTGGCGATTCTGCTTGCAAACCGCCAATCGCCAAAATAAAACTCCGCCAAAATAAAGCGCTATACGGTAACAAGCCAACCATGTACTTAATGTACAGCACATTAATTGTTACCTTAAAACTGAGTCAATGGCTCTGCTGACAGTAACTCTATCACAAGCTATTATTAGTACTGGTATTTGCAGATTAGACGCATTAAATAATGTGGGTGTGGTTACGCTCCTCGCGTCCTTTTTGTTGCCATTAGGTACTAACGAATGATAAAATATAAAATCATTGACAAAGAACCATTACTTTTGCCTAGTTTCAAATCGTAAACCTGTTCCTTTATAGAGTGTATCTCGGTTTTGTATTCCTTCTCGAAATTTTCAAGTCTATCTGCCAGCACTTGCAATTTGTTACTATGATCCGATATCAGATCCTGTACGAAATAGAAAGCATTTAAATAAAATTAAGAGCCCTTCCTCTCAAT